ATTAAAGAATTTGGGGGTGAGGCTTTGTAATTCCACAGAACTTGCACATTATTTAAAATGTCTTTACGGCAATATAAAAAGCCCACTACAGGAGGGATCAGAATATTCCTTTAAAATGTAACAAAAATTGGCTTTAAGAAGTAACTCCTTCAAATCTTTCAGGAAACACTGCACAAAAATCCTCAAATGGCCTTCATCTGGGCTCCCTGAAATGGTATTTCTAAAGGGGCTCTTTCCACATTATAGACCCTTTTGATGTCCAGCTAACATTGCATCCTTGACCACTGAGTTTTGTCCAAAATCTTTGTTGGATTTTGCATGAAAAAGTACGGTCTTCTGGGGCATTGGCAGAAAAAATATGAAAAAAAAAGGCACGGAGACAGGTGCCATAGTTATTACATTGAAGTACAGGAAGACAGGTTTGCTGGAGACATTAATGGTTGTGCCTGCACCAAGGCTGCTGTGCAGAGGCACCTCCTATTGTAGCCAGTTATATTCTGATAATATTCTGTACTAAGCACACCTTAGGTGATGACCATCTCATAGACATGGTCCCCAGCCTATGGTGAGTTATATAATTATTTCCTTATATATCACAATGTAATAATAATGGAAATGAAATCCATAATATATGTAATGATCCTGAAACCATCCCCACGCCCTTACCCCCCAAACCCCTCGTCCATGGAAAAATTGTCTTCCATGAAAATGGTCCCTGGTGCCAAAAAGTTTGGGGACCACTGCCATAGAAGTACTCAACACCTCAATTTCTTGACTAAGTAGAAAAAGCAGCCAGGTGCTCATGAAGCAAACTCTATAAAATCACGTGTTTGGTGGCAGATATGATCAATGAGGCCCAAATTAGGAAGCAGTGATTTTTTTTCTTTTTCTTTTTAGTCTCTGTGGTGATCAGTGTTTCATCTCGTTATGATAAGTAAGAGAAGAAAAATGGATTTGAAGGTCTCATTATACAGAAAAATCTTGAGAAGCAGAGCATTACACTGGGGGCAAAAAATCCAGGAGCAGCTCAGTAAATTCCATGGTTGGTCAAACTTTCTGTTTCAGTGCACAGTCAGAATATATTCCTTTCTGACACCTGTCCCAGCTTCCTCCCTTCAGTTCCAACTTCCACTTCTTGCTACTAGTAGCTGCAAAATACAGCCTTTCCTCTTGGCCTCTTTAATTCTCCTCCCTTCATCGAAATATTGTTTTAAATTCTTTATTTGCATGTATAATACTTTACAGCAAACCCATGGTCATCCCATTTTCTTAATAATGCTTTTTTCCCCTACTACAGAAGTAATGGAGATAGGGAACTTGGAAAATGTAGAGCAGGAGAAAGCCCCCCAAAACTATTATTTTGTCCATAATTCTTACCAATGAAAAACAATCATATTAACATTTTAGTGTATTTCCTTACATTTTTGTTTTACTAAGCTTTGAACACTTAGTTTGTTTTTATTAAAGAAGTATTAAAACAGAGAAAAAAATGTTTAATTATACAAATATGTCTGTGTAAGGCTCCCCACACCCTCATCTCCTATCCCAAGTCTCACTCCCCAGGGATAATCATTTTCATCAGTAGCCTACTGAATTTTTTTATAGTTCTTATAAAGAATTTTTATTTGCTGGCTCTTAAATATCATTATGTTTTTTAATTCAGACTATCAATCTTTTAATTACCTATTTTAATGTTTTAAGCTATTACCAGCTAGGCAACAATTTGCCTTTAATAAGATTTTGCCATTTCTATAAGCGTTTGCCACTTCCAGGGCCTAATACTTATACATGTGTAGGTAAGCACAGTAGAGTACTTAGTTCTTCAGAAATTAAGGATCCTATTTTTTATCTTGAATCTTGCTTTTGTTCTCAGATCTCCATGATCAACTCAGGCAATGATTTTTTTTCTTCCTAAAGTGCACAAGAAAAAGGAACAAAAGGATAGAACATGGAAATCTCTGCAAATTCCTGAAAGCTGGAGTTTGCACCCCCTGTAGTGTTGTCATTTACTACTAGTTTCTCTGCCTGACCCAGTCAGACATTTGAGACCTCTAAGTGGATCTAAGCTAATTAATTATTGGATCAAATCTGATCCCAGACCTGGCTTAGTTTCTGTCGTGGATTCTGAACTCAGTTAGGATCAAATATTTGCGCAGACAAACTCAGAGAGCTTAGAACACAAATCTGCAGAGCTTTGGAATCCAAGAGAGAACTTGCCCATGAGCCCTAGTTGTGGTGAGATAGCAGTGGACATGATGGGTCTGCCAGGTACCTCGCTTGTACTCTAAGTGCTCCTGGGGGTCTCTGGGAGCTCTATTTCAGAACCCTCCTCTGACAAATTAGATTTAACAGTTTATTTGAGCAGAGCATGATTCATGAATTGGGCAGCTGAACCAGAACAAGTTCAGAGAGACTCCAGCTTTGCAGTGTGGTTGAAGAAGATTCATGGACAGAAAAGAAAAGGTGACATACAGGAAATGGAGGTGAGGTATAGAAACAGCTGGATTGGCTATAGCTTAGCATTTGCCTTACTTACACAGTTTGAACCACCTTTGATTGGTCAAAACTCTGTGATCATTTGGGGACTTTTTGATAAAGGCCATTCTCACTGGAGTTAAGTGATATCTCATTGTGGTTTTGATTTGCATTTCCTTGATGATTAGAGATGTTTAGCATTTTTTCATATGTTTGTTGGCCATTATTCTGTCTTCTTTTGAGAAGTTTCTGTTTATGTCCTTTGCCTATTTTTTGATAGGGTTGTTTGATTTTTTCTTGCTGATTTTCCTGAGTTCTAAATAGATTCTAGTTATCAGCCCTTTATCAGATGTGTAGCTTGCAAAAATTTTCTCCCATTCTGTAGGTTGTCTGTTTGCTCTCTTGACAGTTTCTTTGGCTGTGTAGAAGCTTTTTAGTTTCATCATGTCCCATTTATTTATTTTTGTTGCTGCTGTGATTGCCTTTGGAGTCTTCTTCATAAATTCTTTGCCTAGGCCAATGTCTAGAAGAGTATTTTCAATGTTTTCCTCTAGAATTCTAATAGTTTCACATCTAAGGTTCAAGTCTGTTACCCAGCGTGAGTTGATTTTTGTGAGAGGTGAAAGGTGTGGGTCTTGTTTCAGTCTTCTACATGTGGCTATCCAGTTTTCCAGGCACCATTTATTGAATAAGAATTATTTTCCCCAGTGTATGTTTTTGTCTGCTTTGTTGAAGATTAGTTGGCTATATGAGGATGATTTTATATCTGGGTTCTCGGTTATGTTCCACTGGTCAATGTCCCTGTTCTTGTGCCAGTCTCAAGCTATTTTAATGACTATAGCCTTGTAGTATAGTTTGAGGTCTGGTAAATTGAAAAAAAACATGAAAACTCTGTGATCGGCTAAGCGGTAGGAGTAGGGGGGAGTGAAGATGAATGGAGCAGATTTTAGCTGGGAAAAACAGCTGACATTTTTGCTTTTGAAATTTTTAACTAAAATACTCTTCTAAGTGAAACCAATAAGGCTTAAACCAGGTTATAACTTTATCAAGGAAGCAAGAGGTGTCTCCAAAGAGGTGGAAAACAGTTTTTACAGTATTCAAAAAGACACAAAAACAGCTCAAAGAAAGAGAAGCCTAGATAGCCATAAGTGAGGCATAAGTCACAATTTTTATCCAGCCATATTTTCCAGGATTTCAGTTTTTCAGCTGACCATTTATATATAAACATCTAAAAGCCCTGCATGCCTCCACAGAATACTGAAAATGGAAAGCTGGGCACCGAGGGGAAAAGAATCAACAAATGGCAAAAGTTACACAAACATCAAACCAGAGCAGGCTTATTCCCTGTCTGGGAATCAAATGTAGGCTGCTGAAGTGAAGCACACAACTTTTTTTTTTTTTTTTAATACGGTCTCACTCTGTCATCCTGGTTAGAGTGCAGTGGCATCATCATAGCTCATTGTAACCTCAAACTTCTCGGTTCAAGTGATTCTCCTACCTCAGCCTCCCAAGTAGCTGGGACCATAGGTGTGGCCACCATGCCTGGCTAATTTTTCTATTTTTTGTAGAGATGGGGTCTCCCTCTTGCTTAGGCTGGTCTCAAACTCCTTGCCTCAAGCAAACCTCCTGCCTTGGCTTCCGGAAGTGGAAAGCACAGAATTTTAACCATTAGGTTACAAAGTAAATTGGCCTCTGCCATTATTCCCACAGGGGCAGTGTTCAAAAACATTTTAATCTTTGTTTCAGATCAGATATTTGCTTTTCAATTTTGTCAAGGGAAGTTTTAAGGCTAGTCACAACATTATGTGTCTTTCTTTTAATCTACTTTCTCTATTAATACAAATAAGGCAATTGTTTAGAATAAAAGATTTCTACAATTTATTTTTTTTAAATTTAGGAGTATTTTAATTTAAAGGATCCATCTTTTGGTCATTAACAATTAGAATTCTGAATGGTATATTTATTTCAAAAGCGACTCGATCCAATGCCCCTCCCTAGAAAGCCCAGGTGGTAATTTTTCAGATTTAATCTGGAGAGGACACAGAGAAGGCAGTTCCCATGATTCCCCAAAATTCACCCTCAGAAATAGGCAAGATAACAAAGAGGATAGGACCTTTTAAGACAAAAACTCACCTAGAGCTTGGCATGTTCGCTACGGAGTGTGCTGCTAAGAATCTCATATGCCTCAGACTCCCCATCTTTTTTGAGGCTGGCCGTCTGATGTGTTCCTGAAAAAACACAAGCCCCACATGGCGGAGACTGAAGAGAAAATTTCTACTCAGACATAAGACAAGCTCAGGAACATGAAACAAGATGAGAGGGGAACATCATACAGGTTTTCATTTTTTTGTAGGGGGGACCTGCAGTAAAGTTTGTCTTAATAGACACCGGTCTAGTCAGAACTGTATATCTGGCTAGCCTGCAGCGGGCCTATAGGGGTTCTAGACCTGTGTTCTGCCTGTGGTAACCCTCTTTATGACATAATAACACAGAAAGACAAAAGAAAGCAACAACAACAACAACAACAACAACAACAGCTATTTCTGTGAGGAGAGGGAATCAGGCAATATGAATATTCATGCCATAAAGTACCAAAACACATACCAGAGTCACTAAACTAAGACTAGTCACTTAACAAAAATCTTTTTTCTCCTTAATGTTAAATTTGGCAGGGACAATGATCTTTACTGTCTGCTCACAGAAAGATGGAGGAAAGCCAGAAGTCTGACTGGTAAGTTAAGGCAGCTTACTGTGTTGCTGGCTGGCTAGAGTCTAGATTCTCCTCACTGTGACTTTCAGAGGAGCACAGTGGCTTTGAAGACCCTGCTGCTGCGCCAAACTGTGGGGGTGTGGGGAAACTTTCCCTTCACCCTGGGAAGTTTGCCGAAAGCTCCACTCACAATAAGTAAGGCAGATTAATAAGAGAAAAAGATTTATTTATCATGCACAATTTTAGATAGTATTTTAGATAGTATTTATCAACTCACTGTTATGAAAGATGAGAAAATTAGGATACTTACATGTACTCCCCACGTTCCTCCTTCCCCATTTTTGTTATATTTTTAATTATTGAAATTTATAATGTTGCTATTTTTACGGGGCTATAAGTAACTTTTCTAATGTTATGTTTATAGATCGGGTTTGGAAATGTAAACTCAGGGGAAAGAGAGGAAAAGAAGAGTGGGAAGGATCCATCTGTTCCAACACTTTAATTACAGGCATGCATCACTTACAATGGGGACAAGTTCAGATAAATGCATCATTAGGTGATTTTGTTGTCGTGCCAACATTATAGAGTGTACTTATACAAATGTAGATGGTGTAGTCTACTGCACATCTAGGCTCTATGGTGTAGCCTATTGCTCCTAGGCTACAGATCTGTCCAGCAGGTTATTGTACTGAATAATGAACACAATTGTAACACAATGCTAAGTATTTGTGTATTTAAACATATCTAAATGTAAAACAGGTACAGTAAAAACATAGTACTATAATCTTATGGGACCATTGTTGTAGATGTGGTCCATTGATTGAAAAGTCATTATGGGGCACATGACTGTAATTACACTGATGATAACTCCATCTTGAACTGGCTTTTGCAAATATTGCCTCTGAACTTGGAATTTCTCTGGACCCATTTTGGAAATGATTCCTCTTACTTATGAAGTTCGGGGTTGTAGTTTTTCACTTCTCTGTTTGCTTGGTTAGTCTGATTTTATTTAGTTTCTATTTTCCAGAATTTCCTCAGACTTTTGGTGAACTGCTGTTTTCATTCCATGCCTCTCACCCTTAATGTTACGCTTTTAGTCTTTAAAGATGCTTTTAATTTATTTAATGGGCTTCTCTGAGGTTTTTTTGCTGGGACTTTGGGAAGCAGAAATGTTAGACACGTGTGTTCAGTCCACTACCTGGCAACACTAGGAATAATTTCCTCCACCTGGCCATTGCATGGTTTCAGCCATTTTGTCCCAAGCCTGATATCTTCTTAATTAGATTAATTAATTTAGATCTTAATAAGAACAAAGCCATAGGAACCATAGATATTTGTTCAGGTGCCAGGAACCTAAAGCTCCCCTTCCTCCTTTGTCTCTGTCTTCTACCACAGGCTCTGCTTCCTCTCACTGTCCCCCTGACCAGAGCCATGTTTGCTCGAACCGTCTACTTACATGGCTTCCATAAACACTCTGTGAAAACCGAAGTTGAGGAGTAATTATGTCCCACTCCTACTTTAAATTCATTCATTTATTACATTAAAGATAGTATTTATTGGCTGGGCGCGGTGGCTCACACCTGTAATCCTAGCACTCTGGGAGGCTGAGGCACACGGATAGTGTGAGCTCAGGAGTTCGAGACCAGTCTGTGCAAGAGGGAGACCCCATCTCTACCAAAAATAGAAAAAATTATCTGGGCATGGTGGCGCATGTCTGTATTCTCAGCTACTCGGGAGGCTGAGGCAGAAAGGATTGCTTGAGCCCAGGAGTTTGAGGTTGCTGTGAGCTAGGCTGACACCATGGCACTCTAGCCGGGGCAACAGAGTGAGACTCTGTCTCAACAATAACAACAAAAAAGATAGTATTTATTGAGTTCCTACCCTGTGCTGGGCCCTATTCTGGGTACTAGGCATACAGTAAAGAATGCAAAAGAGAGAAACTCCCATCCTTGTAGCACTTATATTCCAAGAGGCAAGGGCATGTTATTTCCTGTAGGACTACAGCCATCAGCTTGGCATAAATTGGCAAACATCAGAAGGATAAAACGTATAATGCTGCCAGTTTAGTAAACACACATAATCAAAACTCCTGGCTGGCTTATCAGTACCTCAGGCTGTCTTCTAATGAAATATAATACTAAATAGTCAGAATTTTTTTGTCCAAAGACCAGTGGATGTTTAATAATGACAATAATAATCACATCTAAGGGAATGAATAGATATTATAATTCAAATCTTAAAATTTAAACACAACACCAATGTCCTACAATAGAGTAATGGTTTAAAAAAATGGCATATCTATAAAATGCAAATATGAAACTATTATAAATGATATTTATGAAGATTTTTTAAGATGATACATTGTGTAATTATTAAGTGAAAATCATAATACAAAATTATGTGTATAGTTGGACTCTACATGTTAATTGAGCAGTCTCAGCTCAGTGGAGTATTAACAAAAATTATATCCTGTTTTTTCCTAATCACTGCTTTCAATGATGCCTAGTTGAATTCCAGATTGCTATCATTATAACATTTTGGACAGATTCCATAATATTCTGGATACTTTCAGTGTTTGAACCACAGTCTAGTTTTAAAACTTCAGTCTCATTTCTGATTTAATCTCTTTTTCTTCCTTCATGCAGCAGAAGCAAGAAGCGAGTGATGTGGAGTAGGAGGGAGCATGAGCAGCTGGCCCCGGTGCAGGGAGAAGCCATCCAGCTTCCTACATGAATGACCCACAGGTCAGGGAAAGGGAGGCATCGCTGGCCTCATTCCAGTTCAGCATGTTCAGGGCTGATGACAGGGCCCCAACGCCTGAGATGGTCTCCAGCAGGCCAAATGTGGTTCCCTTGGGCAATGCTCAGCTTTACCCAGGTCGCCTCTGTCACTGTGAGGAAAAGGAAGATTTTCCTCAGGTCTACCAGGAGTTCACTTTCCAGCTTCTTCTCTGGGTTGTACATCTACCAGCCTCCTGGGAGGAGCCTCCTGGGAGGCTCATGGTCCTCTGCTTCTTCTCTAACTCATGAGTCATAAAACCTCAGAGGTCCTTGCCTTGTCCTTTAAGGTCATGGAGATCCAATCTGGGTGCAGAAGCCCTCATCGTCTTTTCAGGTATTAATACATTATATCTTTAAGCCTTTAATAGCAGTGGTTTTTCTACTCCCACTATCAGAAATTTCTAGACTAGAAATGTACATTAGTCTCTATGGATGCCATATGAACAATGGGAAACTCTCCAAAGAACTGCCTCAAATGTTTTATTGCAATGGCAACACAAAGTTACAAAGGGGCTGCAATTTGCCAGGCATTAGTTAGGGTGTGACATGCCAATCTCCTCTTCTTCAAGTAACCCTATGAATCTCTATGACTTATTTCCTTGGTCTTCCTCCCCTTATCTCCCCTCCCCACCCCCCACTGGGCCTAGGGAGAGTTAAGACTCTCTCCAGAAAGCCAAATATGGTTTCTTCCTTTTTTCCCCATATACTCAGATCTTGCTTTGGTGAGGTAAAAGCAAAGAGAGGAGTTTCCTAGGGTGGTGGTTGATGGCAGTAAGGTTGGTTATGCATTTTTAAATAAGCCCTGATGGAAAGTTTTGACTCCTAATTATTTATGTCTCTTTTGAGAATGATTTCAGCTTTGGGCAGTAGCCACAAGTCTGAGGCAGCAAGAAAAATCCCAGTCAATATTCCACTAAGCAGGAAGCAGACAGGGGAAGACTGGAGACACTGTCAAGCTTAATGATCTTTACTGTTTATATTGTTTAATTTGCATTATCTGAGAAAAAGGTTTTTAATTCATTCAATTATTATGGTCTCCCTAAATAGTAATATCTTGGGTAATGTCATATTATTGTAATGTTATGGTCTACCTGATTCCTATTCCCAATTATCAATTTTGGTGTTATGGATTAGAACAAGGCACATCAAATTGCTACCCTGTTCTTCCTACTGTGCTGCCTGGTCCACATACCATGACCTCAACCCCACTTGTTTCACTTGTACTATAATTACATAGGGTTTTTTTAATGTAAGGAAATTTTATATCACTGGAAAGTCAGGATCATTTATAAATGGAAGGAAACTATGAAAATTAAGAGAATGGAAACCCTTTAGCTAGAAACTATTGCTCACAAAGGTTGTGTGCAGAAAGCCAGCCCTTTCATTGTTTTTTAAAAACAATGATTAGGAAGTGTTTTCAAGGTGCTAAGACTACCAACAGCCTGAGGTTTTCTCTTTTCTGAAAGCAGAAAGATTTGAAGCCAATGTTATCTAATACTATATCTATAGACCATTAAGACAATTTCAAGCACTAATGTTAAGTGGCCAACACTTTGGGCAACACTATTTTATAAAAGTTTTACAGTTTTTGGCCGGGCGTGGTGGCTCACGCCTGTAATCCTAGCACTCTAATCCTAGCACTCTAGGAGGCTGAGGCGGGTGGATTGCTCGAGGTGAGGAGTTCAAAACCAGCCTGAGCAAGAGCAAGACGCCATCTCGACTATAAATAGAAAGAAATTAATTGGCCAACCAATATATACAAAGAAAAAATTAGCTGGGCATGGTGGCATATGCCTGTAGTCCCAGCTACTTGGGAGGCTGAGGCAGGAGGATCACTTGAGCCCAGGAGATTGAGGTTGCTGTGAGCTAGGCTGACGCCAAAGCACTCTAGCCTGGGCAACAAAGTGAGACTCTGTCTCAAAAAAAAAAAAAAAAGTTTTATAGTTTTTGTCATGTTTTACCTCCACACTTTACTTAGCCTAACACAGTTACTTATGTACATCATGTAGTGAGAGGGAACTTTAAATATCTTTTATAATTTCCTTTGGAATCTTATTTCTGAATTTTCATACTGATTTAATTATCAAGACAAAATTTTCAGGTGTCAAGATCAAAGATTATTTGAATTTACCAAGGCATAATAATAGTTAAAAAAGAAAAAGAAAAGAAGGAAAAAAAGGAAAAAAGCAAATGCGTTAATTCCTCTTCAATAATTCCAGATTTCAGCGGTCTGAAAGTATTTAGAAAAGTCACCTGAGTAATAAAGCATGCATCATTTGACTGGATTAAAGTTCAAATCACTGCAAAGCAGCTTATTTTTCATCCATCACCATGGATACAAAAGGACAGCTGAAATGCAGGCATCTGACATCACAAGCATGCCCAGACAGGCCTGGAGGTAGGGCCGCAGCAACAACAGTGCTACAAAAGGAGAAGAAAAATGGCCAGGGAAGGGGAGGAACAGCAAAGGGAAACAGGTCATTGTTAAGATCATGAGTCAGAAGTTCAGCTGGGAAGACTAAGTCAGAGGAGACAGGAGGCCAGCTGAGAAGCTTGAAGACATCAACAGTTGTTTACACCGACCTTTCAATAACCTTCCCAGCCAGAAATAGAACCAGAGGGAAGACTGAGAAGAAGGTATATCAGATCATTCGCTGCTCAAGCAGCAGTTTCAATAGCTTCTTCTATTTTCTCCTTAGTTTATGATCAGGCTTTAATTTTAAACAATTTTAAAACATTTTAAATTTTAAATATTTAAAAATAATATTGTAGAGCTTTTACTTGCCTAGATCACTTAATATTAAAAATCATTCCCTAAAGTAGCTGAATACTCCAAATAGCAGCTTGACAGAATTAAAGGACCAGTATCCACTGGACAATAGGAAATGGTAAATTCTGAGAAAAATTGCTATTTCAGGTGTTAAGTTCTTATTCATGAACAGACACAATTTCTGCTTTGGTTTATTTAGATTTTTTATTAACTTAAATTTTTGTTTCCTATCAAAATTCAATTTATCTATTCTCAGGTTGCTGTATAGTATTTAAAGACCTAGACTCAGGAATGCTGGATTCTGACATGTACTTGTTCTCTGAGGAAAGCTCTGATTTGTAGCCTTTGCTGATTTCTGTGATGTAAATATTTTCACCATGGCTGATTTGAAGCTACCAGTGTGAGGTCAACTGGCTTGCAAAATTTCTAAAAATGTAACAATCAGCCTTTGTAAGCTAGTGCCAGCTGGTTTCTAGCACATTGGTAATTGGATTCTATTCCAGCTCTGACACCAACTTGGGGTGGGACTTTGAGCACCTCACTGGGCCTCAGTTTCCTCTTCTGTTGAAGAATTTGGAGCTATTCTTAATCTCTGCTTGTTGAAATTGTGCATTGGTTTGCTCTAGTTGTTTGAGAGAGGATTCTTGGGGGCCACTTATGGAAGGGGGTATTTTGGAAGATGCTGAGTTGTTAGTGTTCTATTTCCTCTCATCCAATTCAACTCTTCAGGGCAGTCCTGATTTTAACCATCATAGAGTATTTTATATTTCTGTACAAGATATTGTTTAAAGAGAAGAGTCTATTAGTAAAGAAAAAATAACATCAGAAAACCATTTGAATAAAGTCCCCCTTATATCTATAAAAACTGATGATTCTATGAAACGAAAATGTGAATCAAATGCCAATGTACTTATGTCCGTGGACAGTGCTGGACTTAGAATAGTACTTTCTCTTTTTTGGTTAACTCTTAAACTAAACACTGGCTGAAAGAGTCAATCACACCTGAGTGAAATTGTATCCACATTATCATAGACCTGTTTAAAATGAGAATGATATTAGAAATGATTTCTTATGAGAGGTTTCATATCTACCCAAAGGATTCATCAGAGCCCCCTCAGAAGATGCCTGTGTGTGTATGTGGGAGGTGGGGAACAGGTTGTAATCCCTTCCTCTCCTGCTGCCATGCCACCTTCAATAGAGAGGCAGGTCCTCAGTTTTAAATATGCCTCTTAAGTTTTAAATACGGGGCTTCAATATAAGATTTTATTTGAGAAGGGGTTCTGCTGCAGAGGGGGGAGAGGGACAATAAAGGCAACTGATTGATGCCATTGCTTTGTTTAACAAACCCAGAAACCAAGCTTTAAAGAAGAATGCCCTTAGCTTGTATGCCTAATGTTAAAAAAAATAAATAAATAAAGAAGAATGCCTTGTCTGCTACCCCATAATCAGTAAGAGGTAGACTCATGTCTGGAATTAAGGTGTCTAGGTTTCCAGACCATTATGATTTTCCTTTTCAGATGCTGGTTACTTGGGACCACTATTTCCTATTATGTGTCTCTGGGTCAATAATCTAACGCTGTGTTGTCCAATAGGGAAGCCACGACCCACATATGACTGCTGAACACTTGAAATGGGGCTGGTCTGAATTGAAATGTACTGTATCTGTAAAATACATACTAGGGGTTGAAGTCTTAGTACAAAGAAAGAATTTGAAATATCTCATTGATAATTTTAAAATACTGATTGCAAGTTAAAATGATAATACTTTGGATATATTACATTAAATAAAATATACTGTAAAAATAATTTTACTTTTGTATTTTAGTGTGACTACTAGAAAATTTAAAATTAGATAAATGTGGCTCACATTCTATTTCTATTAGACAAATCTGATTTAAATCTCAGTATCAGTTTCCTCATCTGTTAAAAGTGGAAAGTATCTGCCCTTTCTATTTCTCAGGATTAAGATCATATGAGGTAATCTTTGGGCAAAGTACTCTGCAGAGCACTACACAAATGTTATACCATGTTTCAAGGCATGTTATGGGGTCACCAACTATGTTAGTTGTTCCCTATAAGGTGGCAAAAGTTTTATGTAGTATTTTTCTTTTGCTATTGTGTATATATACATATATACTTTTTTGGTGATGAGGGAGGAGTAAAGCGATAGTATAGTCCAGTGGTCCCCAACCTTTTGCTTTTGAGACAGAGTCTTGCTCTTTTGCCCGGACTAGAGTGCCGTGGTGTCAGCCTAGCTCACAGCAACCTCAAACTCCCGGGCTCAAGTGATCCTCCTGCCTCAGCCTCCCAAGTAGCTGGGACTACAAGCATGAGCCACCGTGCCTGGCTAATTTTTTCTATATATTTTTAGTTGGTCAATGACTTTGTTTCTATTTTTAGTAGAGATGGGGTCTTGCTCTTGCTCAGGCTGGTTTCGAACTCCTGACCTTGAATGATCCACCTGCCTCAGCCTTCCAGAGTGCTAGGATTACAGGTATGAGCCACTGCTTCCGGCCGGTCCCCAACCTTTTTGCCACCAGGGATTGTTTTCATGGAAGACAATTTTTGCATGGACTGGAGGGGAGGTGGAGAATGGTTTCAAGATGATTCAAGTGCATTACATTTATTGTGCGCTTTATTTCTATTATTATTACATTGTAATATATAATGAAATAATTATACAACTCACCATGGATTAGGACCCCTGGGTAGGCTACAGATATAATAACGTACACATTCATTCAGTCTCGTCATTTATATTCCGTGAGCAAAAGACATGTTAGACAAGAGCCAACTGCTACTGGATAGAAACAGGGACATCAAGAAGGAACTTCCTTCTCCCCATCTTCCACCTTCCAACCTCTCCCTAAGTGCCTCATTTTGGCAGAACCTGCCAATGAGCCAACTAGCAAGGGAGTCTGGAAAATGTTTCCTGAGTCCTAGCTCCAGCACTGAACAGAATATAGAAAGGCAGGCTAGGATCTGAGAAACAATAGGCATATAACTGGCACAATTCCAGTTCAATTTTGGCAATGATATAAGTCATAGTACTCAGTGACTTAGTAACAGCCACCAGTGGAAGCTGCTGGGTTCTGGAGAGGAGTAGGATAGACAGTTGCCTGACAGAGCAGTGGTCCTGCTGTCTTGCCTAGCAGGGCTACCAGTAAAGTTAGATATGTTTGTATAACATACTCTCTGGGAAGTTCCAGAAATTATTGCTAGGAAAGTCTTTTGGGAGTGGAGGTAAAAAGATAACAAAATTTGGTTGATCTTATCTGTATTTACAAACTAGGGAACTTAAAATTACGTGAGTTTTTCTTAAATTGAAAAACAAGCCCATCAGACTGGTCTGTGAACTTACTCAGATAAAATTGTCATCCTCACTTTTGGGGACATCTATTAGTTTTGTCCAGTATTTCTTCTAGTAACTGCATTCCAGTGTTCCTTTGGAGAACCACCTCTCTCAGCTTTTCTGGGACAAGATGAGAATTCAGCCGACTTGATCATAATCTTTTCCCCTTTCCCTGCCCAGGCAAACATTTGGCCACAGTAATTAGTTCATGTTCATGTATGGGCAGTCAGAGTTAACATAAGGATCTCTGCTGGACCATTTGGAAAAGAGGCGTTCCTTTTCCAGTGGGGTTGCTAGGTGAATAGAATGTTACATTTGGAGCTTTGGCGGCAATACCTAGAAGGGAAAGCCTGCCCAAAATAAAACCAACACATAGAAAAGTACATCTAAGAGATAAAGAGAAGACAAAATTTTAATGACAGCCAGCACTTGGATCCAAACACACATGCAAGCTAGGTCTGTTTACAGATTTTTTTTTAATCAAATAAGCCTGTGGTCCCCAACCCCCAGGCAGCAGACCGGTGCCAGTCTGTGGCCTGTTAGGAACCAGGCCACACTGCAGGAGGTAAATGGGTGGGTGAGCCAGTAAAGCTTAATCTGTGTTTATAGCTGCTCCTCATCGTTGGCATCACCTGAGTTCCGCCTCCTGTAAGATCAGCGGTTACGTTAGATTCTCACAGCAGTGCAAACCCTACTGTAAATTGCACATGCAAGGGATCTAGGTTGCATGATCCTTATGAGAATCTAATGCCTGATGATCTGATGTGGAGCTTATCATCAGCAGAGAGGTTTTACTGAAGAAAAAATGTAATGTGCTTGAATCATCCTGAAACCATCCTTCTCCCTTCTCCGCCCGTAGTAAAATTGTATTCCATGAAACTAAACTGGTCCCTGGTCCCAAAAAGGTTGGGGACCACTGATATAAGCCAATACCTTCCCTTTTTTCTTTAAATTAAAAAAAAATTGAGGTAAGGTTCACACACAGTGAAAAATACATATCTTAAGTGTATATTCCGATGAGTTTTGATAAAGGAAATTCTCTTTTAACCATCACCTCAATCAAGATATAGCGTATTTGCAAAACTCCAAAAATGTTTTTTATTTCCTTCAATTCAATTCCTACCCCATAGACAGCAACTGTTCTGATTGTTACCGTGTAGATGAATTTTGCCTGTTTTTGAACCACTTATTGGTGGAAGTATATAGAACATATTCTTTTGTGTTCTATAAACTTCTTTTGCTCAACATTATGTCTTTGAAATTCATCCATGTTGATTAGTTGTTCATTCCACTGATGGACTAGCATTATGTTGTAAGGATCTACTATATATTTTTAGAATTTATTCTCACGTTGATGAATATTTGGGCTGTTTCCTGTTTTGCTTACTATGGATACAGCTGCTATAAACACTGTTAGTAAGTATTTTTTGATATATGTTTTTATTTCTCTTGTATAAATAACATGAAGTCAAATTATGAGGTAATGTTAGAAATGTATATTCTATAAGAGACTGC